AATTTGGTTTTTTAAATATTTTTAATTAAGATTTAATTTTTATTGCTGTAGTTTTTGTGATTGTTGTCGTTGTCGTTGTTGTTGTTGTCTTTGTTATTCTTGTTTATTAAAAAAAAAAAAAAAAAAAGAAAATTTTACCATTTAAGGGGCGTTTTATTTAAACATTTAAATAAAATTTCACAACAAACTTTTTATTTCCCCCTTTTTTTTTGTCTTTTCTTTTTCTCTCTCTCTCTCTCTCTCTCTCTCTCTCGTGAAAAATCGTTTAAAGTAATCAATAATTTTTTTTTTGTTTTGTTTTGTTTTAATCACAATTTCAAAGCGTTTTTAATTAAAACTTTTTTTCTTTCTTTTTTTTAAAAACAATAATTAACATCCTCAATTATTTATTTAATTTTCAAATTAAAAAAAAAAGAAAACAGAAAAGAAAATGTCTTGAAATGCTACAACAAAAGAAAGACAAAACAAAAAAAAAACATTGTTAAAATTTACATAAATTATTTTCACTCCCCGTTTGTTAAATACCCTTTAAAAAAAAATTAAATCAAATGCAATTAATGATAATGATAATGATGATAATAACAATAACATTAACAAAAAGATTTATAAAAAAAAATAAAAAGAAAATAATACAATTCAAATAAATAAATGTTGAAACATTTAACACAAAAAAAAAGTGAGAGAATTGAATTATTTTCTTTATTATTATTATTATCATCATTATTATTATTAATCAATGACAAGTTAATTAATTAAATAAAGATTCAAAGACGATGATTTAATATTGACCGGAGAAATGATAAGAATTAGATAAGAGAATAAATAAGAAAATTTTCTATACATATAAAATAAAATAAAATAAAAATAGAGAAAAAGAAAATTTTTTAATTAAAATTTTAATTATGTTTTTTAATAATAATAACTATGGATGAAAAATTTTTATACAGTCATTTTATTATTATTATTATTTTCCTTCTATAAATATCATTATCTTGATGTTACAAGAAACATTAAAATAAATGGCAATTTTTTTTTTTTTATAAAATAATGATAAAATTTACTAAACTAAAATATCGATTTACTAAGGAAGGAGAGGGGTTGAGGAGGGAAATGGTATCTCCATAACATAATTCATTTATTTGATTTTTAAATTTAAATTTTCTCCCCCATCCCCCCTCCCCCCGTTTTTATATAGGCATATAATGTGTTTTATAGTCTTTTAAAAAGGAGCCCAACACGTTTGTGTTCAATGTGTGATTTTCTTCCTATTATTATTATTATTATTATTATTATTATTCGTGCTTCTTCCTTTTATCGTTAAAAACTCTTTTATTGAATTGTTTATTATTGATGAGAAATTATATTTTGAATTAATATCTAAATAAAAAGACGTGAAATGTTAATGAATAACTTTTTTAATCCTATGTTATAAACATTAAATACTACTACTACTACTACTACTCCTACTATTCAAATTGAATCAAAAGTTGTTTTTGTTTTGTGTTTTACATTGATAAAATTTAAACTTTATAACTAAATAAATAAAATATGGTGAATAATATAAAATGGAGAGCGAGCGTTAAATTTAAACAAATATATATATAAATAAATTCTTTTGAAAATGGCGGATATCTTGTAATTAAAATAAATTCAATTAATTTTGATTTACGAACAAACGCTACGTCGTAATCGTATTTATATATATTTTAACTAAATATTAATTTATTTTATTAACGAGTTTTGAAAATTCCAAATTATTTTTTACTTATATATATATATTTTTTTTATTAAAATATAAAATTACTCATTATAATATTTAATTGAAAAAATGTGTTTTTCCAATACGGAAAATGATGCGAGAGGAGGGGAAAAAAAAATTGTTTATCGATGACGTCATAACATGGGCATCAAGTCGATAAATTTCATAAATGATTTTTGCCGCGTTTTCGATCGAAGCGCCATCTTTCGAGGCGTGCGCATCACGTCTACTATGCCACTTATTTGTAACGGTCGTATTACATGTTTATGTTTTCAATGAAAAAATAAAAAAAATCTGTTATTTATTTGATATTAAGTGCGTGGTTTTACATTCTTTTTATCTGAAATAATTTTAACGAATTTACAATTAGTAATGGTGAGTCGGTTTTAATTAATTTGTATGCTATTTCGGTATCAAATATTTTTTTTTTCCCTTTCATGTTGGCTTTCACATCAATGATGAAATATCAAATTTATTCTTATGAATGCAAATTTGTTTCATCATTTTTGAAAATATGTTAATGAGTAGTTTTTCCTACGAAAGAGGTTTTAACTCCTCTTGATAATTTAAATCATTTTTTTTGTTGCTTTGCTTTATTTTCATCCTTGATTAAATGTTCTTATTATTTTTTTACATTCAGGATATTAAAGGATTAAAAAAATCAAAAAAAACTCCTAATATATTAAGAATAGCAGCCAGGGACAAAGAAAATTTAACGTCGAAAATAAGCAAAGAAAAAAGCTCACTCAACATTAATAACAAGTAAATGTTTTTACAATTAATTATTGTTTTTGTTTGGCACATGTTTAAACTTGTCATTAAAATTAAAATTCAAAATGTCTAAAAATTATACAAATTCTAGGGAATCTGAAAACCTCATTGTTAAAAGAATAAAAAAAAATGATGATCTTAATAACAGTGAATGTCGAATAAAAAAAAATAATAAAATAAAAAAAATCATACCAAAGAAATCTAATAGTAATATTACAGAGTCTGATTTAACATCAGGTAAGAATTTCAATTAATCAAATTATTAATTATTATTTAAATTTACTTTTGAGAGGATTGATAAAAAAAAAAAAAAATGACAATTTGTTTTGTATCAGACACTCCTAGCGAAAATTATTGGCAAAAATTAGCTGAAAGTTATAGAACTGCTTTAGACGCAGCATTAAAAGAAAATGTTAATCTTCACAACAGTGTTAATGAATTATCGAATAAAGTAAATGAACTCGAATATGAAAATACTAGATTGAAAGCATTGCATGATGAAGCTAAAGCATTAGTAGAAGTTTTAACTGTAAGTTTATTTGTTTATTTATTTATTTTTTTTTTAAATTATCGCTATTGTTCACTGCGACTAAAAATCTTTTTGTTTTATAATAGGAAATGATTGAAAAAAACGATGATGAAATTGATGAAGACGATGAAGAAGATGAGGATAACACATCACTTTAATAATTTGCATTTTTTTTTTTTAATTTTAAACATATTCTTGTGAATTTTTTTTTTCTTAAATAATAATAAGCCACAAAATTAAAAATGAGAAAATTTGAATTTTTAATTTAAACGGCACCAAAAAAAAATTAAATATTTATCAAAATAATTTTAACGAATACTTTTCCTTTTATTTTTTCTCATTATCTGAAAATTTCGATAAGATGTAGTAAGTTAAATTTTATATAATTTAATTTCATTTGTGGAAACATTTTGTAAAAACATCATCATTATTTATGTCATGTATAATACCACATGATTCGAATGAACTTTAAGTCAGGATTTTTCAACTCGATGAGGGTAGTCACACATACACAAACATGATACATATTAAAAATTGTATAATTTTTGAAAATATTTTTTTTTTTTATGATAAATAAACTCGAATAGTAATAGTAATAATAATAATATTAATATAAATTAATTTTATACCCTCTATAATTTGTTATTCCACAATCGAAATCCGTTATCAACTCATTTCAATACAAACAATATGATTTTGAATACTTTTTTATTATTTTTTTCTAAAGTTTTACTGCCACATTGTTTTTATTTTTGTAAAAGAAGAAAAAAAAATTAAATTAAATAAAGTCAGTCGAATTAACCTTAATAAAATTCATAATTTTTTAAAATATATTTAAGTCGAAATAAATTTATTTATTTATTTATTTTTTTTTTTTATAAAATAAAGTCAGTATGTGCGTGTGTGTACGTGTATGGTATATTTCACCAATTTGGGTTGTTTTGTTAGTCAATTTTGATTAAAATTTATTACAAAAACTTTTTACTATATATATATATAAAAGTATAGAGAGAAAAAAAAAAGAACAAAGTTTTCTAATTTATCAGAAATACATTAACTGAGTTAAAAGTCAATTTTTGTGCTTATGGTTAACTTTAAAATAAAAATAAAAAAAACTTGTAGACGTTCACATACCATAAAATGTGCAATGAAAGTTTTCTCTCTCTATTTCTCTCTTTCTCTTTTTTTTTTTTTTTTTTTTTTTTTTAGTTTTAAATCTGACAAAATGGTTGAGAGTGTTTTCTTTTTTTGTTGCCTTTATTTTTTAATCCTTCTCTAAGAAGT